GAAAATGGTGAGGGGCAGGAGGATGATGATGATGGGCCGGAACCAGTGACGGTTAAGGAAGAGGCCGTGCTGCAGGCAGCTTCTCGTGCTGCCGCTCAGAATTCACTTCGAATTTTGAGAGCTAGGTGCCGACCTGATGCCGCCTTTCAGCGCGTAGTACGACCCGAAACCGCCCAATAACCACCGCTGGAAGGGGTTGTAGCTCGTCTGGGACAGGGGGGGGCCGTTGATCCGTGATTCCGCGACAAACACTACACCCGCTGCGGCAACTAATGGGAAAAGAGTCACTAGAGCGCAAGTCGCGAACCACGCCCTTTGTGGTCTCTTGGGGCATTTGGGGGCTTCGTGGGCCGTCTTGGGTGCCGTCTGGCCCCTTCGGAGACCGTCTTGGCGGCTTTTCGGGGCCGCCTTGTTAGTTTTGAGGCCCAAAAGGGGTCCTCCATGTGTGGGTCGATGGATGTGGGGTGGCCCTCGGGGGGGTGTAAGGTTGGGTTGGGTTATTTTCAATATTATTATTCGTATCATTATTGCTATCATCATTATGATGATTATTATTATTATTATCATTATTATTATGATTAGTAGTATCATTATTACCATTACTATTATTATTGTTATTCGTAGTATTATCATCATTATCATTCTTAACATATTATTACGTTAATTGTCATTAGTATTATTATTATTAGTTGTAGTATTCGTACTCGTATAATTATCGTTGTTATTCTTGCTAGTACTAGTCGTAGTAGAATTATTAGGACTATCATTCTCACTATTATTATTCGTATTGTTATTCTCATTGTTCTTATCATTAACAACAATTCAGCATCTATCACTTCTGCACTCGTTCGATACATTGGATACGTTGGGTTGAGGAGTTCGTCGAAAAACGCAGCCGCTCAGCAAGTCACCTCTGGACGTGGATTCCTCTCGCTTCGCGGGGTGCACGTCCGGAGCACTGACAATGCAGTCGTTATGGGGTCTCCTGGGGACCTCTTGGATGCCTCTTAGAGGCATTTTGGACGCAAATGGAGGCATATTGGGGGTCTCTTGGGCAGTCTTGCGGCGCTCTTGCGCCGTCTGGCCTCTCTGGAAGCCATTTTGGAGGCCTCTCGGGCCGTCGTGGGGCTCTCCGTCAGAAACGGATCCAGTGTGAAAAATTGCACCAGGTGGTCCTCAGGAGGGGTCCTTGGTCCGGTTTTGAGCGGATATAGCTTCATCCCACCTCTTGGCAGACTTTCCTGGGTCCCATCCAGTTCAACTGGCGGCCTCCAAGACTCAGGCGGGGATGCATCGACCTCCACTTGCCCATGGGTCGCCGAACGGCGCCTGATCGCCATCCCGCCCGTGAAAAAGCGGAGGCGCTATCGGGTGCCTGTCGCCGATCTATCGGAAATGTCTTGCCGATTCCAGATCGATGGTCGCTGTGTCCCCCCTGTGCAGGTCCCCCCCAATCTTTGCCCCTCATAGGAGGAGAGGGCTGGGCTGGACCCTCCCCCCACAAACGCTGGTGCTCGCGTATTGCGAAGGCATTACGGCCGGTCCTCCCGACCCTGCATGACGACGAGGACGACGACGACGACGACGACGACGACGACGACGACGACGACGACGACGACGACGACGACGACGACGACGACGACGACGACGACGACGAGCGCTCCCGGGGGCCTCTTGGGGGTAGTTAGGGGGCCTCTTGGGAAGCTCTTGGGAGCCGCTTGGGAGCCTCGTGGGGGCCTCTTGTGGCTTCCTGGGGGTCTCTTGGGGGCCTCTTGGGGGCTCTTGGGGGGCTTCTGAGGGGCCTCTGACTCTGGGGGCTTCCTGAGAGCTTCTCAGGCCGAGGAATCGAAGTGTCCGTTCGGGACCCCCGTCTGGGCTCTCTCTTGGAGCCGTCTTGGGGGCCGCCTCGGCTATCTTGCAGGCCTCTTGGGCGGTCTTGGGGCCCTCTTGGGTCGTTGTGGAGGGCTCTAGGAGGCCTCATGAGTCATCTTGGGGCGGTTTTGGAGGCCTCTTGGCCTGTCTTGGAGCGTTGGGAAGCTGACAAGGCGAGAATGCTGAAATCTTTCAAAAACCTTCGAGAAATCTAAGTTTGTTGCCCCTTGGGGCCGTCTTGGAAGTCCTCTTGGAGGCCTCTCGGGGCTACCTTTGAGCCGTCTGGAGGTTACTTCGGCGACTTGGACCGATACTTCGACGATTCTGGGCCCTCGAAGACCGTCTTGGGGACATATTGGGGAACTTTTGCCGCGTCTTGGGGCTTTTCTGGGCCCCCGAACCGCCCGGGGGTGAGTCGTATCTGCCCCGGGACCCTCTCAGGACCCCTCCCCGGGACCCCCCTTGGGACCCCTCTCTCCGGCGGGGAAGGGATCAAAGGGAAGGGGCTTCCTTTCGACTCAACTACAACGTTGCTCAATTTCGACGAGTCAAACGGAACAGCCTCTTCCATGCGCCGACAGGGTCGGCGGATTATGGCGATCGCAGCGCACCCCAGCCCCGACGTGCCCCATCCAGCCCAAGCGTCATGCTCTTGATTGAACTAATGGCAGGACAATCTCCGTGTGAGCGGCCACTCTGGGGAGGAGGAAGAGGAGGAGGAGGAGGACGAGGAGAAGGAGGAGGAGGAGGAGGAGGAGGAGGAGGAGGGGAGGAGCAGAGACGAGATGGATGATGATGATGAATGATGAGGATGATGAGGAGGAGGAGAGGAGGAGGAGCGATTGGAGGGCGGGCGGAGGCGGAGGGAGGCGGAGGAGGATGAGGAGGAGGAGGATGAGGAGGGAGATAGAAAGGAGGAGAGGAGGAGAGGAGAGAAGAGAAGAGGACGGAAGGAGGAGGAAGAGGAAGAGGAGGAGGAGGAGCAGCAGGAGTTGGAGGAAGAGGAGGAGGAGCAAGAGCAGCAGAAGGAGGAGCAGGAGGAGGAGGAGGAGGAGGAGGAGGAGGATGAAGAGGAGGAGGAGGATGGCGAGGAGGAAGATGATGACGAGGAAGAGGAAGAGGAACAGGAGGAGGAGGTGGAGGAGGAGGAGGAGTTTTTGTTGACATCCACGGCCAAGGACCCCAATCAGATTGGGCAAACAGTTGACAGGTCGACAGTAAGTCTGGATCCCTTCGGATAAAGTCCTTTGCCGAGCTGTCTCAAATTCTCTCTCTTGCGCGGATCAGCGAGAGGAATTCATGTTTTCGCGAGGCGAGCACCAGAGGTAAAACAACTGCCCCGCTGGCAAATACGCACAAACGAATCGCCGCTGCAGTCGATTACCACGCAACGATGTCCCAGCTCTCGTAAAACTTGCGGCTGGACACGAAGGTGTTTGCTACTGGAGGCCTGCACACCGAGCGCGAGCCCCTCAAGCAGTTTGGACATTGCCAATAACTGCGGGGAGGCCGCCCGACCAAGATCCACCTCGTGTGGCGCTGACGCTGCAGGGTCCCTGTCGTCGGCAGCAGGTGGACGCGGCGGCACCCACTGGACTCCGTCCAGGGACGTCTTCGGCCAACGTGGCAAAAGCCGTGCCTCACCACTCACCAAACCACCCCAACCCAATCCGATGGCTTCAATTTGCCCTCCATTTCCAGTTTGGGGGGGGGTCGGGGAACACTGAAAAAACATATGGAATCCGTACCCCCCCAACCCGAAATTCGGGTCCAATTCGGGTCTTCGGGTTGGGTTGGGGTGGTCTGGTAGGTAGTCAGTGCCGAGAGCAACACCACTGCCCGCGCCAAAGAAATCAGCCGGTCCATGTAATGCCGCCCCCATCTTTGTGCCTTTGTCCGCCCAGTCGTTGCCCAGACGGCGGACGTACTTGTCCCTAGGGAGGTCAGGGTTGAGGGCAAGGTGGGCAGCCACCTTGTCCGCACCAGCAGTGCAACCGTCGGACAAGGCGTCAGCCTGCCCAATCAATCCACTGTACGGCCGCTTATTGCAGTACCGGTCAGGGCGGCACATGGCATTTGTTGAAACAATATTTGAGCAATCTGATTTCAGCCTGCGGCCAGGAGACGAGTCCACGTATGTAGCCGAGGAAGCTAGCGACCCGAACTCCGGAGCCTGGCTGGTCTGAGGATAAGAAGGAGAGAGCGGCCCATATAGCATGGCCAGCAAATTGCCACCGGCCGAAAGCATGACCGCTCCGAAACCAGCGCGGCATAATTCTTTGATGGGTGACTTCATGCGCGAGCCATCTAAGTACAACTCCCCTGACGATGATGATGATGATGATGATGATGATGATGATGATGATGATGATGATGATGATGATGATGATGATGATGATGATGATGACGATGACAATGATGATGCTGATGCTGATGCTGATGATAATGATGATGCTGATGCCGATGATGATGTTCACGATGGTGATGATGCTGCTGATGATAATAATGATGATTCTGATGAGTATGGCGATGGTGCTGGTGATGACGATGATGAGGATGCTGCTGATGATGCTGATGATGATGGTGATGATGATTGTACAGCTGTAGATAATGATGGTGATGATGCTGATGATGATGGTGATGATGACGATGATGATGATGATGCTGATTATGGTGATGTTGGTGATACTGATGACGATTACGATTCCGATGATGATGATGATGATGATGATGATGATGATGATGATGATGATGATGATGATGCTGATGTTGGTGAGGATGATGCTGCTGCTGATGGTGATGATGATGCTGATGATGATGATGATGATGATGATGATGATGATGATGAGGATGAGGATGAGGGTGGTGGTGATGATCATGATGATGCAGAACATGTTGGTGAGGATGATGATTATGAGGAGGAGGAGAAGGAGGAGGAGGAGCAGGAGGAGGCGCAGCAGGAGGAGGAGGAGGAGAAGGAGGAGGAGGAGGATGTCGGCCGAGTGTGTCTTGTGCTTTCGCCCCGCAGTAGCTGGCGTCGTTGGCATCCTCTGGGCGCCCTGGGCGTGGCCTCCGCGTGCTGCCACGGCGCTGCGGCCGCGGCCTTTGCTGCTAACGAGCGCGCGGAGGCAGTGCTCCGCATCATCAACGGCACCGTGGTGCGGAACGCCTCCGCGGAGTACTCGTTCTTCTCGGGGGGACGTAAGACTCGAGTTCGCCGGAATGCGGGTCTACCGCCGCGTTTTGACGGGCCCGTCTATCACTCTGGACGGTCTGGGGTTCGTGAGATATTTGCAGCGGGAGCTTCAGGCCTCGGAAGAGATCAGCGAAAACTCATGCAGCATTCACCTGCCAATGCCCCCCCCAGTGATTCACGTTGGCTGTGTGTTGAATGCGTTGCACTTCGACCGCAGGCTTCCCTGCGCGTGCCAACTTTGAATTTGGGGAAGAGGGGCAGCGTCCACTGATTCTGATTGTTTCCCTTTACCGTGGCGGCAGATTTCAGGCTGGGCCTTGTCAGTTTCTTGACGGCCCCGTCGGGCCAGCTCGGGCCCCCCGAACCCGCTTGTATGACGTCCCCCCGGTCTTCGCCCTGCCCACCCGCGGGCCCGACTCCGACGTCTGGCTGGGCTGCGGGGCCTCCATCATCTCCCCGACCTTTGGCCTGACCTCCGCGCACTGCTTCGGCGGGGGCCTCAGCCCGTGCGAGGGGCCGACGAGTCTGGCGCTGTGGCTCGGCGACGTCGAGCTCCAGTCAGACCGTTCCATCGCGCCGATACTTGGCGGCAGGAGCGTCCGCGTGGAGGCTCAGGGTCTAGGTCTCCCAGACGGGGTCCGAGTAGATGGGGTCGGAAGATCGCGCCGCATCCGCCGATGCATCGCCGTGCGGCTGGATATGGAGGCCGACTTCCTTAACGCCGACGGCGCCCGATGCATCGCCGACGTCGCCGATGAATCGCCGATGTATCGCCGAAGCGGCGCATCCTCCGACCCCATCTTCTCGGACCCCATGTGGTAGGGCCTTTAAGACCGCCGTGACAAACGTATCATGTGGTCTGCATGCGAGATGACTGACGTCTGGCGAAGTGGGCGGAGTAGAAACTACTCCGCGCGGACGTGCATCCCGCCCCATTCATCACATGAGGAGGAGCAATTCCCGATCCCGTTTGGAGATAAACCCGTTTGGAGATCACCGAGTTTTTTTGTTGTTGTTGTTTTTTGTTTCTTTTTTTATCAAGGGGGGCCCGGAGTATTCCGCGGGAGCGCAGGAGCTGCCTGCCCGTGCTAGGAGAGTCTTGAGATCGAAGAAGGCAAACATCATTCCACGCCGCACAATCTTTTCGCCACGGCAGCTTCGGGGGATGGACTCCGGCGGGGACGCATCGAACCCTTCTGAGGCACATGACACGCTCCTGCTCCTCCTCCTCCTCCTCCTCCTCCGCCTCCCTCCTCCTCCTCCTCCTCCTCCTCCTCCTCCCCTCCTCCTCCTCCTCCTCCTCCTCCTCCTCCCTCCTCCTCCTCCTCCTCCTCCTCCGCCTCCTCCTCCTCCTCCCCTCCTCCTTCTCCGCGGCGCGGCGGGTGAAGAAAGGTGCAGGGCCCGTCGCCGATCCGTCGGCGGACGCATCGCCGATGCAGGCTCGATGCCCCCCCCCCCCCTGAGCTGGCCACCCCCTTCTTGGCATCGCTCGGACGTGTGCATTTCTCCTTCGGCGAGGGCCATCGAGGAGCATCCTTGATCACTCGGCGAAAAAGCCACGCACGAAACCGAAACAGGCACAGGGAACAGACGCCCGAGCGATGGCCACCCGCTTGCGCTGCCCCCCAGAGGCCGAGCTCCTGTGCAGCCCGGACTTCGACGGGAAGTGCTCCCACGGGCACGACGTCGCCCTCCTCCGGCTCCGGCTGGGACAGGACCGCGGCGGCACACGCTCGGGGGTGGACAGACCTCCTGCCCTGACGCGTCGATGAGCGAATTGGCCGTTTTCGGTTCGCGAGAGGGCGTCGCGGCCGTCATTTTTGCGGGTCCAGGCCCGTCGGTTTCGGTCCCGGGCCGTTCTCACCAAAGGGTGGTTTGCGAAAGGGAGGTTTGCCCACCGCCGACACGCTGACGGCGACGTGGGCAGCGGCGACGTGGGCTCCGGCACTGCAGGCGGGGACGGCTCGTGGCCCACCCCAGCTGCAGGCAAGGCCGCCTGCCTGTGCTCGTCAGCGCTGCCCCCCGTTGGCTTTCGGGCCCCGCCGACCCCCTCCTCGGTCGGCCCCCGCCGCTCGCAGTGGTCGGCCTCTCGTGGCCCTCGCTCTCCTCCGCCTCCTCCTCCTCCTCCTCCGCCTCCTCCTCCCTCTCCCCTCCTCCCTCCTCCTCCTCCTCCTCCTCCTCCTCCGCCTCCTCCTCCTCCTCCTCCTCCTCCTCCTCCTCCTCCTCCTCCTCCTCCTCCTCCTCCTCCTCCTCCTCCTCCTCCTCCTCCCCTCCTCCCCTCTCCTCTCCCCCTCCTCCTCCTCCTCCTCCCGTGGGGCCCCCGTTGGGCCCCCCGCACGCTGCCCGTGCGCGCTCGGGGCGCCGGCGCTCGACGCGGGCCCTCGCCCCCGAGCAGCCCCGTGGCTGCCCGCACCGCCGAGCCCTGCGCGGGCCCGCCGTCGCAGAGGAGAGCCGGGCTCCCGCCGCCTCGCCGTCCGCGCGGCCTGGGCAGGCGCCGGCTGCTCCAGTCTGGTTAATAAAACGACGCGAAGATCGGGACAAAATCGGATCGGGATAACTCGAAATCTCTGAGAATCGGCGGGTTTGGAGGATGTATTGGGCGCCGCGGCCGCTCCAGAGCGTTCCGGAACGCTCTGAGAGCGCTCCGGAACGCTCTGGAGCGATTTATCCCGATCCTAGCCCTGTTTTAGTTAAACCAGAGCATTTGCGCGGATGTCGTTCCTTTCGGGCGTTCGGGTCGCTGCGTCGTCGTCGCCGCCGGGCAGGTGCGGCGCGAGCGTTCGGGTTGAGTCAGAGTGGGCGTCGCGCGGAACAGAGCAGCCACGCGCGCGACGGACGTATTCTCAGGAGAATCCTCCAGGCATCCTTCTCAGCCAACCCCCTGTCCAGGTCAGTGGGGAGGGGGTAGGGGGAGGGGTAAACCCCTCCCCGAAGGGGAAGAAGGAGGGGTGGAAGAGGAAACTCGTTAAACCACCGACGCCCTAAAGGGCTGGTGGGATTCTCCAGGCATTCTTTCCGGCCAGCCCCCACCCTCCGCGAAGCCCCCATGAGACGTCCTCCCGAACTATAGGAGCGGCCCTTCGCCGGAGAGAGGGAGAGGCCGCTGGCGCGTGCGCGGCCTGCGGGGGGGAGGTGCGGCGGAGGCCTTCGGGGGGGCCTCTGTCTGCCCAGGGCCAGGCGCAGGCCGATGCCGTCGAGCTGCGCGCAGTGGCCCGCCGGCCGCGCACCGAAAAGGTCGCTCGTGCGGCGGCGAGCGAGGGGGGGGGGAAGCGAGGAGGAGAAGGCCCTCTCAGGAGGCGGCGGGACGTCTCGGAGGCCCTCGCGCCTCCCGGGAGGCGTCTGCCTGTCTTCGGGGGAGGGCGCAAGAGCACTTCTCAGAGGGACCCGGGGGGACTTCCGAACCTTCCGAGACGGCCTTCTCCTTCTCGCTTCCCCCCCCCCCTGGGCTCGCCGCCGCTCCCTGGGATCCGACGCGGCAGAACACAGGCAGCATCGCAGCAGAACAACGCCCGGAGCCCCAGACCCCAGACCCCACCTTTGCCGCGCCGTGCCTCGGGCAGGGCCGAGCTGCGAGGGTCGCCGGGCCCGAGCAAGAGGCGAGCACGCGGGGCCCGAAGACGTGGCGACGCCAGGATCGAAGGGCGGCCAGGGAGCCGCATGCACGGGAGGCGTTCCCAAAAGGGCCCTGCACTCGAGGCTCGAAGGAGCTGCCATCTTAAGGGGGCCACATGCGAACCCTGCCCCTACCCCCCACGATTTCTGAGGGGGAGGGTGGGGTTCACGTCGTTCTCGGGAGCTCCCGAGCGAAGTGAACCCCGCCCTCCCCCTCAGAAATCGTGGGGGGTAGGGGTAGGGTTCGCGTGTGGCCCCCTGCATCTGTTCCTCGGCGGAGGGCCGGCGGAAGGCAGACGATAGGCCGCCTCCGCCGGCGGCAGCCTGCGGGAGGCCGGCGGGAGCCGGCGGGAGCAGGAGTCGGCCTCCCAAGAGGTGACAGCCTTTTTGGGCTCAGGGTCTCCTGCACAGGCGGTGCGGCGCCAAACGGACAGCACGGGAGTCAGCATGTTCCGCGCCCCATGGGCAGCCTCGCTTTTTCTTGTTCTCTTCCTCGCAAGTCACGTCCACCTGGAGCGACGCAGGACAACGGGGCCGTCTTCACCGACACCGGCGCGTAGAAATCCGCGTGGAGCGTCAAAAGTTTGTGCTTATGCCGTTTTTACTTCTTCGATGCAGGGTCGACTTTCGGAGACGTGAGCGGGCGGTGGATATGGATACGTAGCACCCTGCAGTTGAGGATAACAGTGAGGGGGCGGGCGCGGGGTGGATCGCGGATGGGTCGCGGGCTAGTCGCAGGTGGGTCGCGGGTGTGGCGCGGGTGGGTCGCGGGTGGGTCGCGGGTGAGTCGCGGGCGGGTCGCGGGTGGCTCGCGGGGTGGGCCACGGGTGGCTCGCGGGTGGGTCGCGGGCGGGTCGCGGGCGGGCCGCGGGTGGGTCGCGGGTGGTTCGTGGGTGAGTGGCGGCGGGTGGGTCGCGGGTGGGTCGCGGGCGGTTTGTGGGTGGGTCGCGGGTGGGTCGCGGGTGGGTCGCGGGCGGGTTGCGGGTGGTTCGCGGGGTGGGCCGCGGGTGGGTCGCCGGTGGATCGCGGGTGGATCGCGGGCGGGCCGCGGGGTGGGTCGCGGGTGGGTCGCGGGTGGTTCGTGGGTGGTTTGCGGGTGGTTCGTGGGTGGTTTGCGGGTGGATCGCGGGTGGGTCGCGGGGTGCGTCGCGTGTGGGTCGCGGGGTGGGTTGCGGGTGGGATGATGACAACAAGCAACAAGCAACAAGCAACAAGCAACAAGCAACAACAACAAGCAACAAGCATCACACAGCACACAACACAACAACAACAGCAAGAGCAACAGCACCAACGACAACAGCAGCAGCAGTAACACCAACACTCAACACTAACAATAACAGCAACAACACCAACAACACAAGCACCATCAACAGCAACACCAACAACCGCAACAGCAACACCAGCAAAACCAACAATACCAACAACCGCATCAACAACAGCACCATCAACACCAACAATAGCAACACCAACAACATACCACCATCAGCAACAACATCATCAACGACACCAACACTACTAGCAACAACACCACGTATAGCAACATCAACACGACCAACAACAGCAACAACAACAGCCACAACGACAACAGCACCAACTACAACACTTACAACACCACCAGGAACAACAACAATAACAACAACAGCAACAACAACACACATACCAACAATAGCACAACCATCACCAACGACAACAACCCGTACCGCGGAAGCCCACTTCAGCCACGTACCCAGGGACAGTGAATGACCGTTTGGTTTCCTCACTCTGATATTTTTGGCCCTCGGGGCCTCAAATGTACCCGCATCCACCGCCCGCTGGGTCCCCAGGGCGTCGGTTCCCAGGCGGTGGATCTGGAAACATCCTCTCCTCGCAACATGCGAACCCAGCCATGTGTGCCTCCTCCCCCCTGGTAGGGTCACCTCTTGCGCCTGGCCGACAGGAGGGGCTGCCTGCGTGGGTCAAGCCGGTGCCCGTGGACAGGGGAGCCAGCCGTACCATCAGCCTCGTGGGCTCCTCCGTCAAGACGGTGGGCTTCGGGCTCGTCGAGTCCAAGGATTCGAAGCAGAACAACTGCATAAATCGGCGGCGAGCCCTGGGGGGAAGTGAGAAGGAGAAGGCCTTCTGTAAAGGCTCGGAAGCCCCCAGTCCTTCTAAGAAGTTTTCTAAGCCTTCCCCGAGGACACAGAGAGCCTCTCAGAAGGCTGGAGGCCTTCTGAGAAGTCCCGCGGCCTTCTGAGAAGGCTTTCTCCTTCTCATTTCCCCCCCTCGCCCACCCCCACCGCCGAAGGAACACTCACAGGCGATTTTTCGCCCCCAATCCCCGAGCTCCTCCGAAAAAGCAGGTCGCTCAGACAAGATGGGAAAGTCGGGGATGCACCTTCAGGGGGCTCTTTGGACGCACCCATATCGCGGATGGACGCGCCCCCCATCGTATATCCCAGAGTTTCGGGCCCCAACTTGCTGGCCCGGTCGAAGACTCCTCAAAGTTGGGGACCGGGGCCGACATTCTCCCCTGCATTCACCACCCACCAAGCCATCCCAACACCCAGCCCGAAGGCCCCAAGTTGCCCTCCATGCCCAGTGGTGGGGGCGTCGGGGAACACTGGAGAAACACGTGTGGGACCCGTAATTACCCTCCCCTACCCCGAAATTCGGGTCTTCGGGTTCGGTTGGGGTGGTCTGGCAGGCAGCCATTTATAGACACAAGCGTCCGGTGCTCCGCGCGGATTTCTCGCCTCGGCGCTGGGGCGCCCCCTGGCGGCGCCTCCCGCGCCGCCCCTGGCGCGCCCCGGGCGCCAGGGAGGGGGGGGGTCCCAGCGCCGATCGAAACAATCCGCGTGGTCGTGGTATCGTTCGGACGTGTGCGTTTTTTTCTCGGCGGGGACCATCGAGGAGCTTTTTGGATCATGTGGCAGCAGGCGTACACGCGCGAGGCCGAAAAATGCACAGGGAAGGGACGTCCGAGCGATGGCGAGTGGTGTTCTGACAGTTTAGCCAGTGGCGCTGCCTCGGGCGGGCGCGCGGGGGGGGGGGGGCGGAGCCTTTGGGGGGGGGGATAAGGGGGGAGGGTCCACGGATCCCACTTCCCTCAAGTTATGTGGGGCGTTCCAAACAGGGCATCGCCTTCGACGGTCGAAGCAGTTGCCATCTCTTCCTCGGCGGAAGGGCGGCGGAAGGTCGGCGGAGGTAGAACGAGGCCGCCTCCGCTGGCGGAAGCCGGCGGAAGCTCGGCGGAAGGCGGCGGAAGTGAGAGATGTGCCCCCAAAAGATAAAACCGTTTTTGGGTTCATGGTTCCCGAAATCCGCCATGCATTCGGGACCATTGTCTGCCAGGAGGGCCAACAGCGCAGGGGCGTCACACAAAGGATTGCACCTTGGGCTCGATGCGATGTGTCGGGGGGCCTTTAGTTTGGCTCACAAAGTTCGAAAGCGCCAGCCGCACACCAACCGCTGCAAGCGCGGTGGCGGATGCTGCCGTTCCCTCTGCTCCTTTGAGGACGACCCCAAGCTCATCGGGGAGGTGTCGCCGTCCCTGCGGGAGGTGGAGGTCGACGTGCTGCCGCAGGACTGCCCGCAGTGCGCCCGGGTCTACTCGGGCGGCTGGGGCTGCTCCGACCAGCACTCGGAGGGACAGGCCACCAACCTGCACCAGCAGCTCTGCGCAGGCGCGGCGGACCTCGGACGCCCGCGGGACACGTGCTCGGGCGACAGCGGCTCTTCGAGGGCACCAAGCAACCACAACCACATCGCGGGTACACCCTGGTGGCTCTTGCGCATGCCGATCCTTGTAGGCACCCCGACACCAGCTCAGTGCTGCTTGTGGCCGACGTGGGCGCCCAGGACGGCCAAGCCGACCACAACCGCAGCCAGAGTGCTCAATGCCGAGGTTGGCGGGCCCTCCCCCGAGGGGCCCTCCACAGAAGCGTCTCCCTTGGCTGTGGTCGTGGCTCTTTGTGGTGCCCGGAGGCTCCCCGATGATCGACGCCTCCGGCGCCCAGGTCGGCATCGTCAGCTACGGCGGGGGCCCCAGCGACAAGCCGAGCGGCCCGGGCCGCATGTGCGGCGACCCGGGCTACCCGGGCGTGTACGCGCGGATCTCCGCGTTCGCAGACTTCCTCCAGGCCCACGTGCCAGACCTGCCCGCGGATGCCTGGAGCCGGCCGTCCACCGGGGACTGGCTCCCATGGGGCAGCGCATGCGGATCCCAGACCCCCAGCGTTGAGTTTTTGCTCACCACGTGGCCAGGTCCGGACCACTTCCCCATCCCGGGACGTCTTTTGACAGTCCTGGGGCCCGGCGAGGGCCCCTGGATGCCGTAAATTTCCAAAACCTGTCACCGGGATGCTTGTCACAAGGCGATGGTGAGCCTTCTTTTTTCCTGCCCAGGGTAATGCTCGTTACCTGGGCCAAATCCCCCCGACCCCCTGGGTAATGCTAACGACCGTATTTGGGGGGGTGGCCTGGGCCCCCCCATACATGCCATGGTGCATACAGGCGATTGATGCGCTGGTGGCGCGGACTCACGCAGGCGGGTGCACGCTGCGGCCGCAGTTACCGTTACCCTCCCGCCCGACCCCCCCCTGGTAACGACCGTTACCCGGGAAAAATTATCCTGCCGAAGGACCCAACCATATGCAATTGTGAGTACCGCAGTTGTGAATATCTTCTTCGGTGGAGCCCCCTACGGGGCCACGAAACGTACGAGGGGTGTGCCGAAATGGGTGTGCGGGACGCATGCGGGCGCGGGCACTGGGGCCTTCGGTGGAGCTCCCTATGTGACCACAAACGTGCGAGGGGTCACGAAACGCGTGAGGGGTGTGCCGAAATGAGTGTGCGGGACGCATGCGGGCACACCCACTGGGGCTTTCGGCGGAGCTCCCTTTGGGGCCACGAAACGTGTGAAGGGTATGCCGACATGGGTGTGCGGGACGCATGCGGGCGGCAGCACTGGGACCTTCGGTGGAGCCCCTCTACGGGGCCACGAAACGTGTAAGGGGTGTGCCGAAATCGGTGTGCGGGACGCATGCGGGCACACCCATTGGGGCCTTCGGTGGAGCTCCCTATGGGGCCACGAAACGTGTGAGGGAGTTGACGAAATGGGTGTGGCTGACGCATGCGGGCGCGGGCACTGGGGCCTTCGGTGGAGCTCCCTACCACGAAGCTGGGTGACGCATGGGGTGGGGCCTTCGGTGGAGCTCCCTAACGTGTGAGGGGTGTGCCGAAATGGGTGTGGTTGACGCATGCGGGCGCACTGGGGCCTTCGGTGGAGCTGGGGCCTGTCCGAAATGTGTGATGCTGGGGCCTTCGGTGGAGCTCCCTATGGGCCACGAAACGTGTGAGGGGTGTGCCGAAATGGGTGTGGGTGACGCATGCGGGCGCGGGCACTGGGGCCTTCGGTGGAGCTCCCTATGGAGCCACGAAGCGTGTGAGGGGTGTGCCGAAATGGGTGTGGCTGACGCATGCGGGCGCGGGCACTGGGGCCTTCGGTGGAGCTCCCTATGGAGCCACGAAGCGTGTGAGGGGTGTGCCGAAATGGGTGTGGGTGACGCATGCGGGCGCGGGCACTGGGGCCTTCGGTGGAGCTCCCTATGGAGCCACGAAACGTGTGAGGGGTGTGCCGAAATGGGTGTGGGTGACGCATGCGGGCGCGGGCACTGGGGCCTTCGGTGGAGCTCCCTATGGAGCCACGAAACGTGTGAGGGGTGTGCCGAAATGGGTGTGGGTGACGCATGCGGGCGCGGGCACTGGGGCCTTCGGTGGAGCTCCCTATGGAGCCACGAAACGTGTGAGGGGTGTGCCGAAATGGGTGTGGGTGACGCATGCGGGCGCGGGCACTGGGGCCTTCGGTGGAGCTCCCTATGGAGCCACGAAGCGTGTGAGGGGTGTGCCGAAATGGGTGTGGCTGACGCATGCGGGCGCGGGCACTGGGGCCTTCGGTGGAGCTCCCTATGGAGCCACGAAACGTGTGAGGGGTGTGCCGAAATGGGTGTGGGTGACGCATGCGGGCGCGGGCACTGGGGCCTTCGGTGGAGCTCCCTATGGAGCCACGAAACGTGTGAGGGGTGTGCCGACAATGGGTGTGGGTGACGCATGCGGGCGCGGGCACTGGGGCCTTCGGTGGAGCTCCCTATGGAGCCACGAAACGTGTGAGGGGTGTGCCGAAATGGGTGTGGGTGACGCATGCGGGCGCGGGCACTGGGGCCTTCGGTGGAGCTCCCTATGGAGCCACGAAACGTGTGAGGGGTGTGCCGAAATGGGTGTGGGTGACGCATGCGGCCGCGGGCACTGGGGCCTTCGGTGGAGCTCCCTATGGAGCCACGAAACGTGTGAGGGGTGTGCCGAAATGGGTGTGGGGGACGCATGCGGCCGCGGGCACTGGGGCCTTCGGTGGAGCTCCCTATGGAGCCACGAAACGTGTGAGGGGTGTGCCGAAATGGGTGTGGGTGACGCATGCGGGCGCGGGCACTGGGGCCTTCGGTGGAGCTCCCTATGGAGCCACGAAACGTGTGAGGGGTGTGCCGAAATGGGTGTGGGTGACGCATGCGGGCGCGGGCACTGGGGCCTTCGGTGGAGCTCCCTATGGAGCCACGAAACGTGTGAGGGGTGTGCCGAAATGGGTGTGGGTGACGCATGCGGGCGCGGGCACTGGGGCCTTCGGTGGAGCTCCCTATGGAGCCACGAAACGTGTGAGGGGTGTGCCGAAATGGGTGTGGGTGACGCATGCGGGCGCGGGCACTGGGGCCTTCGGTGGAGCTCCCTATGGGGCCACGAAACGTGTGAGGGGTGTGCCGAAATGGGTGTGGGTGACGCATGCGGGCGCGGGCACTGGGGCCTTCGGTGGAGCTCCCTATGGAGCCACGAAACGTGTGAGGGGTGTGCCGAAATGGGTGTGGGTGACGCATGCGGGCGCGGGCACTGGGGCCTTCGGTGGAGCTCCCTATGGAGCCACGAAACGTGTGAGGGGTGTGCCGAAATGGGTGTGGCTGACGCATGCGGGCGCGGGCACGAGGGAGGAGGGGGAAGAGGAGGAGAGGAGAGGAACGCGGGGCACCGTCTCTTCAAAACGAGGACCCAACACCACAGGATGGTTGGGAAAAAAGGGGGCACATGGGGTCGTGGGACTGGCCCTCTGGGGAGAGGCACATCGGTCCCGGTTGCAACACCCCTCGCCAAGAGCGAGGCCCGAGGGCGCCTTCCAGCCTCTAGGTATCGCTCGGTCGTGTGTATTTTTCTCGGCGAAGACCATCGAGGAGCATCTTGGATCATCTTGCGGCAGAAATCCCCGAGATCCGACGTAGCGATAAAACTGCAACATCGTAAAAAGTCACGCCGGGAGCCCTAGAGCCCACATGTCTGCGTCATTTTTAGAGCCGGATCGATCTGCGAGGGTCCCTGGGCCCGGAAGAAGGCGAAGACGCTCGCCCCGAAAAAAAATGCGACGCCAGGATCTCAGGGATGAGGAGCATCTGGGATCATCTTGCGACAGGAAGGCACGCACGAAACCGAACCATGCGCGAGGGATGGACGTGCGAGCGATGGCATGGCCTGCGCGGGAGTGCGCGGCTCTGCTGTCCAGGGCCTGCTGACGCCGATCCATCGGCGACGCAGCGCCGTTTCCGAGCCAGTGCTCCCCTCGTGAGCCGGTCATCGGGCGTCTCGAGTCGGCCACGCGCAGAGGGGGTAGGGAGAGGGATGAAGGCTTCTCAGAAGCACCACTGCTTTTTTGAAGGCGCGGGCCTTGTACATAGATGTGGGGCCGGCGCCTTCTAAGAAGCAGCCTCTTTCTAAGAAGCCTTCCCCCCCTCCCCCTACCCCTTGTGCGCGCCGCCAATCGAAAACATCGAAACCGAGTTTTTTCATCGTGTTCGGCCTCTGGTCAAGAGGGGCCAGGACGAGGACAAATCCGTTCCAGAGCGTTCTGGAACGCTCTGAGCGTTCCGAAACGCTCCGAGAAGGCCGCGGCGCCCGAGACATCCTCCAGTGCCACTGGATCTCAGAATTTCCGATTTATCCCAACCCGATTTTATCCTCGTCCTGGCTTTGTTTTACGGAGGTCTTTCATCGTTGTCGGCCTCCAGGGGCACCTACCCGGCCTCGGGGCCTTAGCCAGGGATGAAACGTTGATCCTGGGGAAGGGGTCGAGAGGTCGGGGGCCCGCATCTCGAAACAATCGGGACGCCGGGTGCCCGGGACCGTCTCCCCGCGCCGTGTGTTTTGCTGCACGGCTCGGCCCTCCAGAGGTCGTGTGTAGGCCCCTTTCCCGGGGCGGGCCTTCCACCCCGAGCCGTTTGTGACGGTCCGGAGGCGCGTCTTGGCGCGTGCAGCTCTCACGTTGTGCAGCTGTGCCATATCGGCCCAAGCGCCGTGCCACAGGCTGGCGCCCGGCTTCCGTCTGTCTCTGAAGCTCGGTGGGGTCCCCCAGGGGCCGAGGCCGCTCAGGACCGATCCTTCTCGACCCGCCTCGGAGTCGGGCTCTGCTGCAGGCGGTCCTGGCTCAGAGGGTGTCCCCAGGTTTTCGCGCCGTCCTGGATCCCCCCTGTGGTCCTCTTGGAGGGTGCTGGTGCTCTGCAGTCCAAATGGGTCTTCGCAGGAGTCTTGGGGACACCAGGTTTCCGCATGGAGGGGGAAATGGGGGATCTCTCTTTCTTCAGACTCTCTTCAAGCGAGTTTATGTGCATGGAGGGGGAAATGGGGGGAAGAGAGCGTGGCGAGGCCCGAATGGAAATCAGCACTTCACGCCAGTCGGGACTCACTCACACGCATTTTCGGCCCAGCGCTGTTTGAAAACGCGGCGGAGGGGGGGGGAACTGCCATGCAAGTAAACTGGCCAGCGTCTACATAAAAAGGCGCTCGAGCCATTTTTCGACAGTCCCGACGTCCGGTAATAAGGGCCCCCCAGAGGCCGAAAACGATGAGAAACTTCCATCTTGAGCTTTGCGAGACGCCGGATGTCTGGTTAGAAAGGAAATTACGGAAGCTTCCGCTCGTCTTGGTTTCTGATTATGTTTGATTGCGAATAGAGTAGCGCCAGATAGCGACCAACAGCACCCAAAAAGACCATGTGAGGGAGAAGCATTCTGCCCGCTCTGCACCCGCTTGGGCGCAGAGGGCGCAGAAGAATTTGGGTAACGAGGAGGGGATATTTCGGTAGCAGATCACGGGTGCCTGATATACCTT